CCCACTATTCCCAGTATCCCCCATCCCCAGTTATCCCCATTATCCCCCGCTATTCCCAGTATCCCCCATCCCCAGTTATCCCCATTATCCCCCGCTATTCCCAGTATCCACCCAGCTCTCCCAGTTCCCTCTCCTCGTGTAGGTGGCGCCCCCTGGCGGCGGGGCGGCCGCGGCGCGCATGCGCAGCATGGATGGAGGGGCAATGTGTTAGCGCGGGAACTGGCGCACGCGCAGTACGGGGGAAGGCGCCGCTGCCACCAAAGAGGAGTGGCCACTGGCGGTGGGGCGTGCCTGGCGGCGGGGGGCGTGGTTGCCGAGAGTGGGCGGGGCTTGAGGCAGAGGGCGGGGCCGCGGCAGTGCCCGTGCGCGGCGCATGCGCGGTGGGCGCGGCCGGGCCGTGTGAGCCGGGCCCGTCCCGCCCGTCCGCCCCCGGCCCGGCCCCGGTGAGTGCGGGGGGACCGGGGGGCAGCGCCGGGGGGGGACACGCGTGGGGACACCCCGGGGACCGCGCGGCAGCCCTGGGGAAACCGGCCCGGAGGGAGTCTGGGACCTCCCACCCCACACACACACACATGGGGACACTGGGAACAGCCCTGAGGTAAAATGTGCCCCCGCCCGCATTATGGGATCACACAGACCCCCGGTGGGCGGGAGGGGGTTCTGCCTGTGAGCAACTCCTTGGGAAACCTGCAGGGCGCTTCTGGCCCCGCAGCTCAGGCCCCGCCGGGGTTTGACTCGGAATAACCAGAATAACCCCCTTTTTTTAATAATTATTTTTAATTGTTCGTGCCCTGCGCTGCGGCGGCACCACCGACGTGCCGGGGCTTGTGGCTGCGGAGCCGCCGGGAGCTCCTGCCGGGGAGCGGTGAGAGGGCTGAGTCCTGGTGGGAGAGCACGAGTGTTTTCCCTTGATTCCCTTGTTTTTATTTCTGTGGTGCTTTCCAAGAGCTGTTCCGCAGCCCCTGTGGAACGAGCGGCACGGGTCCGCTCCCAGGCCCTTTGGAGCAGGGTCGGAGGGCCGGGAATGCTGTGAGAGGTCACCAGGGTTCGAGTCAAGCTGCAATTCCCGCTGTGTTCGCTCCCCGCAGGCTCCACCTGTTTCCCGTCTCTCCAGGATGAGAGAGGCCTGGGCCCGGCTCTCCCCCTCTCCCTGTAGTTGATAGTTTGGGAAGCAGAGGTGATGCTGGAGTCGAGATGGCCGACAGCGTGAGAACCTTCCTTCATGACCTCGTCAGGGTGAGCTCCGGGTCCCCGTCCCTTCCTTCCTTCCCAGGGCACCCGGGAATTGAGGGAGAAGGGGCTCCAGGTGTATTTTAACACCATTGTTTGGTGTGTCTGTTGCTGCTGAATCTCTGACAGGTTCCCCTTGGGCACAAATTACTGTATAATATGTTGTTGTTGTTATCATACTAAGTTTCATTATTAAAATGTATGATACATATAAAGTGTATAATACATATTAAATATAAAATATATCTGAAGTATATAAATATTATGTATATAATATATTAAATATAATATAAACAAAATGTATACTATATGAAACATATATGAAACCTAGAATATATATAAAATATAAATAAAATATAATATAATATATATACACATAATATATACACAATATATGATATAGATGAAATATAGAATATATAAAATATAATATAAATAAAATGTATAGTATATACAAAATATATGATACATATAAAATATGGGATATAAATAAAATGTATAATTATACAAAATATATGATACATATAAAATATAGGATATAAATAAAATGTATGATACATGTAAAATATATAATATATATAAAATATATATGAAACATACTATACATTTCATATATCATATACTTTGCATTTATAATATATAAATACTGATATATGTTAATGTATACATTATGTTAATATTACAGTTAATATATTAATATTACTGTTGATTATATTTAATATACAGAAATATTATTACTGATACTATTATGTAATATGTAATACATTATAATTATATATGTTATATTATGTATTAATAATATATAATATGCTATATATATAATATTATATATTAATAATATATTATAACCATGACCATGGCAGCTCTGCCCCAGCAATAAGGTTTGTGTGAACTCACTGCTCCCACCCTGCCTTCCATCATCCAGGGGTAAACACAGCCTTAAAAACTGTGCTGTGACACTGAGCATCAGCTCGTGTCCAGAAGTAACTTGTGTTGGGAAACTCGCTGGGTTTGATCAGACACCTGTGGTGGGAGGAGTTGTGTCCTTTCCTGGTGCTCCCACACCATCTATCCCAACATGGAATAAAGCAAAACCTCTGGGCACATTCCTAGTAACAGGTTTGCAGTGATGTGGCTGGTGGGAGGATGTTTCTGGGACGAGGACAGATGCTTTTATTTGTGAAGGAATGAGCGTCAAACCCATAGGTGCAGTCAGACTTTGCACATCCCAAATATTTGTGTAATTCCACTTTATTGGCCTCAAAGTGCTGGCAGGGGATGAGGGTCCTCCTGCCAGACAGGGCTGGGAGAGATCCGACTCTTTGGCTTCTGCCAGGGTTATAAATAGTGCAGATTGGAAGAGAAATCACACCTTTACAGAAAAATTACTGCTGCTCCTGGAGATGCTGGAATGAGCAGTGATTTAGGTCACCAGGCCATGCAAAGAGCTGGTGTTGCTGCTCCAGGCCTTGGCTCCGGCTGAGCCGGGTGCTGCTTAGCCAGGGAGCTGGGCCAGCCGTGGAACCAGGAGGGCTCTGATGGCACATCCCATTCCTCCTCTCTCCTTGTGCTGCAGGGAATTAAGGACTCCATCTGGGGCATCTGCACCATCTCCAAGCTGGACGCCCGGATCCAGCAGAAAAGGGAAGAGCAGAGGCGCAGGAGAGCCAACAGCGCACTGGCCCAGCGGAGGTTTCACATGGAAGAGAAGAAGCAAGAGAAGTGAGTACAGGGCCCAGCAAGTCAAAAATGGGGTCATTCCCTTCTCCTCTGGTAGCCAGAGCCAATAAATGGGAAAAAGGTGGCGTGAAACTTCCTTTTTCCACTGCATAATGGAGCTGGAGCTGTGAGATAAAAAGTCGGACCTTTTATGTTTCATAATTACCTTGAATTGCCACTGGAAGGTGTGGAGCTGTGCATGCTGACAGAACGTGGATTTATGGGTTTCTTTTCCTCCTGAATCCTCGTGCTGCCTCAGATCCATTGTTTTTTCTGGTAGTCATGGGATCAGGGAAGAAGCAGCAGCTCAGCTCCATCTCCTTTCCCCAGGCCTGCGGCGTGTGGAGCTGCAGGATCTCAGTGGCTCTGGAAATGCCAGAATTATCTCCACGTGGGAGCAAAGAGCATCTGTTCCCATGTCTGACTCCCAAACTGCACTGGGATGTGTCTCTGCTGCCCTGATCACGCTGGGCTGGCACCTCACACGGTGGTTTTGGGAACGTCTGAGACACTTCCCAGTTTTTCTGCCCAGCTGGGTGGTAGGCTGGCTGAAAGGGGAAAGAAAAGTCTCCCTGGATCCCAGTCCTCCCTAGGGCTTCACACATGGGCTGCCCCTGAGGAATAATGTAAATTTTAGGGGCACTAAACAGCTAAGTTTTGCTGGTTTTCATTGTAACAAAGTCCCTTTGGTAGCAGGAGCTGACTGGGAAAGTGCTGCAGAGTCTCACAGAGCTGCTCTTGTGTGTCCAGATAGCGACACCAAAACCAGCCTGAGCTGAAACAGTCTCTGCTGAGACCAGAAAACACCCAAAACTCCCTAATTTTATTGTGGCAAGAGTTTAAGGAGAATGTTGCCTGAGATCTCCAATAAATGCTTAAAAATCTGGAAGAAAGCTTTGCTTTTCTTCCGTTTCAGTGCAGACTGTGGGAATTAATAAAGGCTGAAAGAGTCTCCCTGATGTAAATGTTGTAGAGAGCTGGTGTGAGTCTGCGTGGGGATTCCTTCTGGGATTCCCCTGTTTGGATAAAATCAGGTGCACCACTGTCGTGGGGCTGGTTCCTGGGGACGTTTCCAGGGTGTCCCAAGTGTGGGGCAGAAGCTTTGTCCAGGTGCTGGGACATTAACAGGTCTCTCTCCTGCAGTGAACCCCGGATAGTGAGCAGGATATTTCAGTGTTGTGCCTGGAACGGAGGTGTCTTCTGGGTACGTGGAGACTTCTTATTTTTCATGTGTTTTATTTTAAAACCCCTGTGGAAAGCCATGTCCTGCTCCAGCCCTCATGCTGAGAGCTGTTGGTCTGGCAGCAGGAACTGCTGGATGTTCCCATCCCAGTGCTGTATTTTAAGGGATTCACTCTGGGATATAGGGCCATAGGCTCACTCAGGAGACCCACACATGAACCCGTGAGCTGCTTTTCCAACTCTCCACCAAAATATTCAACTCCTGCTCTGCTGCAGCCTGGGATACTGCTTTACCAATTGGATATTGATGTCCTA